GCTTTGTTAGCCGGCAGCCGTGCCCTGCGGGGCTGCGAGCGAGCGGCGAGGTGATGCGGTACCGGTACGCGAGGTGACGGAGCTACCGGTGCCCGAGGTGATGCAGGTGATGCAGGTACCGCAGGTACCGGTAGCCGAGGTGATGCCGGTACCGGTACGCGAGGTGATGGAGCTACCGGTACCCTGGAGCTACCGGTACCCTAGGTGATGCGGGTACCGGTGGTTTCTAAAGGGAGGCACCTGTGTCCGCTCAGGTAAGGCACCGGCACAGCCAGTTTGTGTCTGAAAGCGAAGCTAAAAAGCTTCGAGCCTGAGGGTTGTGGTTTCTTTTTTTCTTGTCTGTTTTGGTTTAGTCTGGTGGTGGTGTAGGAGGGCTCAGCTCAAATTACTGTGAGATTCGATGGACTCTTCACCTGGGAGTGCTGGCGCAGCTGGTCTGTGTGTGAATCGAAGCTGAAAAGCTCTGAGTTTGGGGGTCTGTGTGTTGTCCGGGGTGAGCCACGCGTGGTTAGGGAGAGTGGTTTAGTCTGGTGGTGGTTTAGGAGAATTCTGCTCGAGTGAGTGCTGTTGGTGGGAGAAAGTCACTGAACTCTTCAGCTGTGAGTCAGATGTTGAGGTGGTTTATCTGCACAGTCACTTTACCATTTCCAAACACGCAACTTGGTGCACAAGCATTAAAAACCATGATTACAGCTTTTGTTCTGCTCTGCTCCTTGTCTCTCTCCCCAGCACAGGTGGTTTCAGTAGCTGCAGGTAAGAGCAGCACATGCAGACTATCCATTTCTCCAGAACTCCAGGAGAAAGGAACTATTCATGCTGGAGACAATCCCTGTAACCCGACCCAGAGCACTCAGCTCTCCCCTGCACTCCTGGATGTTTTGTCTGGTGCCTTTCCTTGTGCTTGGCGGTTGCTGTTCACTGTGGTTAGAGTTTTAGGCATGGCAGTTTCTGTGATGATGTTTTAGGCACCTCTGTTTATAGCAACCTGATCAATAGCAAATTCACAGCTTGGGGAACGCTGCTAATCTTCATCCACTCTTCAAGGAGTGGTGTTGACAGAGAGGGTTTTACTGTTGCTTGATGGAGATAGCCAGGGGCAGGACATGCTGCCTCACACTCCAGTTGTGCCACTTTGCTGCAGGTACTTCATGCATTCCCATGCGGATTGGTTAAATGCACGACCTGTATGGAAAACATCACGTTTGGCATTGCTTGGGCAGCAGGGAAATACCAGCCTGAAGGTCCAGTTTGGCAGCCACACAGTGTCCTGGCAGTTTGCCATTTTGATCTCTTCAAGGTAGCACTTAGATGCCTTTTCCTCCCTGTGGAGTGGCCTAATGTTGCCCTCTTTCTAGACTAGAACAGTACCACCATTTAAAGATCCTGAAATACTGTTTAAAGATGTGATTCTATGTTTTAACATCCTCGAGCTACCGTTGTTGTCGCTTAAAGGCAGAGGAATAGTGTCCTGGGGCAGAGCTGTGTTTGTGGTCAGGCACATTAAATCTACCTGTCTATTTTATTGTCAAGCATTTCCAGAAATTACCTTGAAACGTCACATTTCGTGTTGCAAATTATCACCCTTGGTAAAGCACTGTTCTGTTTTTTTCTCCTGGAAATGATTGGTGAGCCAAGTCAGATCAGATAAACTATTTCTGACCTGGCCAGTTTATTCACCATCCAGAGGGAGATGAACAGGGTTGAAATGCAGCCAAGTCTCCCAGAATAGGTTTTCATAAACGTAACTATTCATCTCTAATCGTTGGGGTGTTGGCTTGGAGATCAGTTCTTTGTTGTTGTATGAAGAGTGAGGCCAAGATTGACCAAAATAGTTTTCAAGCGAGGAAAAAAACTGCTCTGGTGATTGGTGGAGATACTCAGTTTTGTCTGAAAAGTAAGAAAAAACCTAATTTTTACTATGAAATTATATAATGAACAAAATCCTCTGACAGTTGTAGCTACACATTAACTTTATTGTTTATTATTGTACTTGTAATCTTCAATTACCTTTGGAGTTGTGTGTTAATCTGAATTAAAACCAGTTACTCTTAAGGCCACAGAAGAAATGTACTTGGCTATGAACTTTTTGAACCAGAAACACAGAAGAAATGTACCTTAGCCATTGAGTTTCTGCACCAGAAACAGAGTAGCACAGGTTTGTAGCCCTAGAAACCAGCCAGAGAGACCTTGAGGTGTCAGAAGTGTTCAGTGCTTCAGGTAGAGGTGGCTATTGTCAAGGGACAAAGGTTACCCACCTCTGAGTCTTGGTAAGTGGAATCTCTCTCCAAATGCATTTGGCACATGTGTATTCCTAAGGAATCCCAAGCCTGTTCCAGGAGGAAGGACAGCACTTTGCAGCCTGTCACACCAAGTAAGTCAGCACTCCCTTATGAGCTACTTTCATTGAGTATAAGTGTGGAACAAATCCAAAAGGAGAACAAACGAAGTCAAAAGTATGTCAAGAAGATTCTTCATTTGGCTTATAGCTCAACCTGCAAATATGTATCTCCAGGATTAATCTTCAGGCAGTTCTCTTACTACAGCCTACAGCCATGCAGAAAGGGGGTTTTGTGGTAAATATTTTCACATCTTCACTGTTCTTGAAGACATTTGGTGTTTGGTTGGCAAGTTAGTCAGTTTTGTACTGTTGCAGTGAGGTCTTCCGGAGTGGTGACACTGATGTTTGTATCAAGAATCTTTGCAGAGAGACTTAAAAGTTAGCTTGGTTGTAGTAATTCCTTTCATTCTGATCAGCACTTGGCAGTGAAGCCAAGGTTGGACTCGATGACCTCAGAGGTCTTTTCCAACCTGATTGATTCTGTGAATCAGCAGTCTCCTGGTTGGACATCTCTTGGGTTGCCTTGTGTGTGCATCTCCCAAGGACCTTGTGTGGAAGGTCCTTGGAACTATCATCAAACAGCTCCAGAGGGAGGACTGCTCTGTGCAGAGGGAGGGAAGGAGACAAAACCTTCTTCACTCCTTTACTGGTAAAGAGATGCCAAGAGCTTCAGGTTGAGCAGAGTGTGAGTGAAGTTGTCTCACTGCAAGGGAAGTTTTATTTGGCTGCTGTGGTTTAACCCCAGCCAGGAACTGAGCACCTCACAGCCATTCACTCCCTCCCTCCACCCTGATGGGGAGGAGAACTGGGGAGAGCTTAAAGAACAGTCTCATTATTGAAACAGAATAAAAGATAATAAACTAATACATAAAATTAATATAAGACTAAAGATAGTAATAATTGTAATGAAAAGGAGACAGAGAAACTAGGACCAAGAGAAACAAGTGATGCCCAATATGGGAATGCCCAATATGACTGATGCTCACCTCTTGCTCCTAATGCCCATCCCATCCCAAGGAGTCATTGGTGGCTCCTGGCCAACTCTTCCCAGTTTATATACTGGGTGTGATGTTTTATGGGATGGAATATCCCTTTGACCAGTCTGGGTCACTTGGCCTGGCTGTGCTCCCTCTGGCTTGTGCACCTGTGCCTGGGAAACTGAGAAGTCCTTGACTTAGACCAAGCATTGCTTAGCAACGGCTAAAACATCAGTGAGTTAACAACACTGTTCTCAGACTAATCTCAAAATCCAGAACTGAAGCACTAAGAAGAAAGTTGACCAGGACAATGGCATCAGCTTCTGTTTCTTTTGGGGTTTTTTTGTTTGTTTGTTTGGTTGGTTTTTTGTCATTACCCCAAAGGATTACAAGAATTGGTGTTGATTTCCCCCGATCATTGTTTTTTCACTCTTAGTGGCTCCTTATTTATGTCTGATGAACTTCCATAGGAGCAGTGGCTCATCACTGCTGCCATGGCACACCAGTTCCTATCCCATGGAGTTCCTGTTGGGAAGATTAGACCTTGAATTATCTCCTTTGCTCATCATTACCAAGATTTGCAGCAAATCTCAGTGTTCTGTGCTAAGATTAGTTGACCAGAGAGGGCTGTTCCCTTTTTGCTACCCCTCTGGGGTCAGTGCCATGGAAGATGCACTTGCTCTCAACCACCTCTTTCTGTGCTTGATTATCCCTAGATGCCACCAAATTACATTTCTTCTCTAACAGCTGAGGCTAGAAAGTAAATCTTACTGAGGGGATGCTCTACTTTAATGTAGGACACGAACTAAAGTAGGGCTGATTAATTGTTTGAATACCCTGTGGTTCTCCTTGGCCATGACAGAATCTATAGACATTGAGGTGCCAAGATGAAACTGGTGCAGTTCCCTTGGGATAGGGATTTATCTTGTGTTTGGGACCTGATGTACCCATTCAGGATTATTTCACTGGTGTCTGTTTCTGATCAATAGACAAATCACTCCTTAGCATGATGCTGTTTCGCAGAATCGTTAATGTTGGAAAAGACCTCTGAGCTCATCAAGTCCTTTTGGTAGGATTGTGTTTTTATTCCTGCTTTTCTCCCTGGATTAGCCACAGTTTTTCGGGGTTCCTTTTTGATGGAAAACCTTAAATGACATGTGATGATTGGAGGAAGTGCTCTCCCCCAATCCCTTGTATGCCAGACCTCTAAGTAGAAGAGGCCTTTGTGTTTTCATTGCTCCTCTGTTACACTGAGTGAACATGAAAAGCACACTCTGTGCAGCGTGAGCAGCTCTCCTGCCTTGGCATGTCCATGCTTTTTCATTTTCTTTCTTGCTTGTCTTTTGGTTTGAGCTCTTTCTCTCTCCTATTGCCTCTATCTATGTCTCTTTCATTTAGCTCACACACTGCCCAATACACGCAGGAGGATGACATTCATTTCCAGTCCCCTAGTGTTCCTCTTACCAACACACTAATATGCCTCTGGAATATCAGAGAAATAAGTTTTTCATTCCATGTCCGTCATAAATTTATTGAGAAATGGTTTTCCTTCTGTCTTAATGTTTTCTTACATTACTTTACTAAAGATCTCTGAGGGCTATGATCTTACAAAAGTGAGAATCAATTCTCAAACAGAAAGCTATGTACCAGAGGCAATTTATGGCCTGGAATTACAGTCTTGAACTTCTTTCAGGTTTCATGGTTTGGGACTGTGGAAATGAGGAGGGAATGTGCTGAGCAGGAGCTTTGGGGCACACCTCAGTGCTCACTGGGTGCCTGGGTAGGTCAGTATCTGCTGCACCTCTTAGACTTGATCCTGCAGCCATTGCTCATCTTTAACTTTCCATAAGTTCTTTCAACTTTCTTTAACTGAACACTGAAAAACACTTGGAATTTGTGAATGAAGAGAATATACCATATGATTTGGTGAGCCCAGTCCTTGCCTGAAATGTTGCATCTTAACCAACAGCTGACTTCACTTGGTGACAGTTTGAGACTCTCCAACCTCTGTGGTCAAGAGATGTTTAAAATTGCACTTTATATCAATCCTTGTCTTTGTTATTAACTCATTTGCTGTGAGCTCCAATTCTTACTCTCTACCAATCTCTGTGATTTCCCTCCAGTAACTGATTTTTATTGTGTTGAGGCTCTTGTTTACCACCTATTTTTTCTGTATTTAATATCTCCAGTGAAATCTGTGTGTCATGTTCTGGACTCCGAGATTTAATGGTCTAAAATTTGAAGGATCATTTGTAAGTGTAAAACTTTTTCTTTCCTGAGTTCTCCTCAAATGGAAATGTGGTCTTGTTCAGTTCTGAGATGATTTAAAACTCCTTGGTTAGCCAAAGAACTACTTAAAACTTAATTGATCCCCATTTCAAGAATATGTATGTGAAGTTTAGGCCTTGAGCTGCTCAGTGAGAGCCAAGTTATAACCAGGCTCCTACAGTGTTTGTACTGGAAAAATCCCTAAAACTTAGTGCAGGAATCTGGCCAAGCACCTCAGAATTGTTAAATATTTTGGTGCCAGAATAGCTCAATTATTACCTCTAGAATTACATCGAGAGAGAGGAAAAGTGCTTGGGTTTAGGGTGCTGTAGGCTTTAAATATGCTGTATTGTTCCAGGTGAGGAGTGAGAATTTCTAAAGAATTTCCTTGCACTGGGAAGGAAAAGTTGATTTTTATTGGAAATAATATCTTGATGTTTACTAATTTGATTAATAATGCAAATATGCCTTTTGTGTTCAAAACAGTGCAGGTGATAGACATCCTCTCTAAGGAGGGAATTCCTTCTGTTGAAGTTTTCAAATGGATAGTATGTGGTGAAAAGTCTTGCTGCCAGTTTTTCTACCCAAGACAAGATGGGACAGGCCAAGAACTGAAGTATTTCAAGACCACATTTACAGTAGTAATTAATAAGTTTTAAAAGTATAGTCACCCTGTGTTTACTAGTGATTTCTGCTAAACTCCCTTTAATATATTTGGGTTTGCTTTTCTGGCTAATTTTAATGTATGCACTGATTATTTTCTAGTTAGGATTTGAATTCTTACTGATGATACTGCTTTTGAGAACTGTGGAGGTTTAAGGGACTATATAGTAACTAAGCATTATTGGTTGTATTTCTGTTCCAAGATCATGGGAATGGTTTGGGTTGGAAAGAACCTTAAAGCTCAGCTGCTTCTACCCTCTGCCGTGGGCAGGGACACCTTCCACTAGCCCAGGCTGCTCCAAGCCTCATCCAACCTGGTCTGGAACACTCCCAGGGATGGAGCAGCCACAGCTGCTCTGGGCAACCTGTTCCAAGATGTTTAGTTGGAGCCACTGCCATGACCCACATGTGTGTGCACTGGTGTCAGTGTGAGTGAGCTCTCCCCTCTGTTTTCTCTCCTCCCTCTCTGTGGCATGTCCCATCCTTGCTTTGACCAAGACACTTACCCTAGGGGCTGCCTGATGGGGTCTTTGCTCTGGTACAAACACAGTTGGTGTTGAGTTTTCCATCTGTTCAGGAGCCAACCAGAAGTCCATCCTGGGTGTGGAATGATTAATGGCCAACACAGGCAGCGCTACAAATAGTGTTTGTGTTAGAAACCTCACAGATCCATGGCTGCCAGGGAACTTTATAACTGTTTTACATTTTTGGTGTCATAATATTCCCAACTGTCCAGTGTGTGACACTCAGTGGGTGTTGCTGGTTTGTTTGGACTTAATGGGATACAGTTAAATCAGGATCATTGTGGTAATTATCAGCCAGGTTTTTTAGATTAGTGGATTAATTCAGTTATGAAAAAGTCCTTTAGAAGATGCAGTTTTGCAAAGAGAGGGTTTGGATGTGGATATTGTGAGCATGGACAAAGTGGTGGCCCTGGGGAGGGTGGGAGGTTTTCCTGCCCATCACCAGATCCATGGGAATACTAACCTGGGGAGGGTGGAAGGTTTTCCTGCCCATCACCAGATCCATAGGAATACTAACCTGGGGAGGGTGGGAGGTTTTCCTGCCCATCACCAGATCCATGGGAATACTAACCTGGGGAGGGTGGAAGGTTTTCCTGCCCATCACCAGGCAGTGCCATGGAAATGCTAACCTGTGGAGAGTGGAAAGTTCTCCTGCTGCAGAGCAGGGGCTGATGGCTGCTCCATGAGGCTGTGTGGTGGCAGTGGGTTGTCCTAGCATGGGCAGAGGACTGTCCATGCTGCTCTGGGGGTGTGGAGGCCGTGCTCCCCGGAGTGAGAGCCATCAGGCTGCTGGGATGTCGGGAATGGGAACAAATGCTGCTGTTTGTTGCTGCCGTTCTCAGGGCAACAGCCCTCTGCTTACATTCCTTGCAAGTTAATAGGGTCGCACCGCAGAAGATACCTGACTTGGATGACCATTTTCTCCTCCCAGAGTAAACACTCCTCTGGCCCAAATTCCAGGTGACTGCTTACCCCATGGGGACCAGCTGTGTGGAGCTGCTGGTGCACAGCTGAGCCTGGTTAGGAACAGTGGGTGAAGTGTTGCTTTCCCTGACAGCTCTGCTCTGAGCTGTGAGGAGTAGGAGCTGTGAACAACATTACAATCGTAGCAGTGTTCTTTTCTAGCAGACCTGAGTGTTGGAAGATGTTGGAGGTAAAGTTTAGTTAGTGCCTGAGTTCAAAAGGCTTAGTAAGTAGAGAAACCTCAGTCTAACACACACAGATATTTACATCTGTTTAATTTAAGGAGCACACATTTGCCTAAGGGTTGGCATGGTGTGTTTGAGCTCTGGAAATTGGCATAAATGGTGTTTATGTGGCAAATGGTTTCACTGAAGCACTGCACAAACCCAGTTCCACAGGTGGAGGTCTCAGCCCTGCCAAGGGCCCACAAGAGCACCTTCCTGGGAGAGCCCTTGGCACAAACCTGGAAGTGCTTGCAACCACCTAAACTGCTGTTAAAATACTAAAGATTTTACTAAATCTTTATTAGATTTATACTGGCATTAAAATATTGACTAAAATTTCTTGGATTAAATTGGGTTTTAATTTTAAATCTTCCTTATGTTCTCTTATTTTTACATGAGACTTCATAGTTATCCCCCAAAGAAATGTTCAATACAGGCTGTTTTTTCCTCTCAGTTTCAGACAGTTGCTGAGAAATCATGTGGAATCATCTGATTCACAGATGACTTTGAAAAGAGTGTTCAGAGCTGTTTGAAGTAATATTTGGTGGTACCTAATGCTAAAAAAACTCTCAGTGTTACTCTTGTAAAATCATACAGGAAATAAAAAAGGCAAATATTTCCCACTAAGTGGGACAGAAGTAACTTTATTGGACTCTTTCGTGCTGCACAAAACTGTGCAGAAAGTGAATTCTGTCTCATGACTGAGGAACCACCTAAGATACCCACAGTCAAATCCCCTACCTGTCTTGACCCTTTGCATTGTGCATGCAGTATTTTGCTTTCCAGAAACCACATCCTTATCACACCTGATTAGGGGTTGTCTGGGAGCTGGAGAAACACTGCCATGTTTTATTAATGTAGTATTTGACAGCTGTTAACTAGTGAAACCAGAGATTGGTGCCTTGACTAAAAGGTGTTCACCTGATACCTGTCACAGAGAACCCAATTAACCTTTAGGCTCTATATATTGAGTTACCAAACTGGCAAGTAGACTTGGCTACTGGAAATTGGCTGCAATTAAACTTTCAGAGAGAGCTGGTGGATTATTTTGCTTGCTCAGATGGTCTTTTTTTGCTGTTGTGTATGGGATTTATCTAGTTAAAATAATACATATATCCAGGTATGTGTGTATCCAGTAATTTAATATGTAGGTTACTGCTCTTGGTTTCCCCTTGGGGTTATGAATGTTCATCTCTGCTTTCTCACCACTGAACTGGGAGTCATTTGTGGAGCGTGTACACCTTGTTTTTGTTGGGAAGAGCTATACCAAACTGGTACACACCTCTTACATTTGCTCCTACCCATCCCTGCTTTCCCCATTAATTAGTGGGAGCAAATAATCCTCTTGGGATTGTTTCTCCATTGAGCATCTGTGTAGTAATTGACAGAAGATACTTCCCAGGGGGTATTCTGGGCACAGTTATCTGCTGACTGAAAGAATATCCATTATTAAAGGAGTGAAAATCTGCTAAAGTGAACTTGAGCAGCTACAGGAGCCTAAAGCAGCTGTTGGGTTTTGGGAGAGCATTGCCTGCCCTCAGTAAAGGCAGAGAATGATGTGATGCTGCCAGTATTTCCTGCCTGTGTAGGATTTTAGCTGTGCCACTTCGGAGAAATCAAGGGGGTTTGGCTATTTAATGAGCTGTGATGTTATTTGTCTTTAGCAAAAGACAGTGGGCAGGATGCCCTTTAGTGCCTGGGGGACTTTATGGAATGAAAAGTACATGGAAAGTAAATTAATCAAATCCAGAAAACCAATTTTTGTGTGAGATAAAAACATTGCTACAGCAGTATAACCAACTCTCCTAAAACCAAATATTTGATAGTGTTTCTATGGTGAGTTTTTCTGTTTGTTGGGAAAGCTTTGGGGTTTGTTTGAAATGAAGATGATTTATATATTTATTTGGGCTGGTAACTTATGGATCTGATGTTTCTTGTGCTTTTCTCTTGCAGGAAATTCATGAGTTATTTAAAGATTATGAAATCAAGTATTGTTATGTGGACAGAAATAAAAGAACAGGTAAGAGCTTAAAATCTTCTAGTGTTATATGTTTGAGGTCTGTGAGGAACATCATGTGCCATGTATGAAGTCATCAACTTCTCTGCTGTCACATAACTTCTCTGTCTGTCTCTCAGTGCCTTTTTTGGCTCCACAGTTTGTCACCTTTGACTGAAGCCAGTGAAAAGGTGGAAATGTTGGCCAGAAGTAGGTTGGTCCACTCTGGCCTGTCCCAGGTGTATGTGAGTGTCTCTTTGGGACAAAGCTAACACAACTGTCTGAATTCCTTAGAAAAACTAGTCCTGAGGCCTCTCTTAGGCCAAACCACATATGCCTGAGAGGAAAACACACTGAGCTTCAGATGCATTTGCGGTTTGCTCACATCAGGAGACACTTTGTTCCTGGGAGGGTCACCAAGTGCTCTTGGAGGTTACCCAGAGAGGTTGTGAAGTCTCCATCTTTTGAGATACCAAGAACTCATCTGGACATGGTGCTCCCAGCCTCAGCCAGTCTGTGATTCTGTGATTATAGATTATGGTTATTTATATGATATCAGGAAGAAGTTTTCCCTGTGAGGGTGGTGAGACACTGGCACAGGTTGCCCAGGGAGGCTGTGGCTGCCCCAACCCTGGCAGTGTTCAAAGCCAGGTTGGATAAAGCCTTGAGCAACTTGGTGTGGTGGGAGGTGTCCCTGCCCAGGGCAGGGGATTGGCACTAAATCATCTTTAAGGTCCATTCCAACCCCTTAACATTCTGTTATTCTATGAACTGCTTTATGGACTGAACCCCCCAAAAATATCTATTGAACCACAAAGTGAGAACTTGTGGATGCTGTCATCAAAGATACTCAGTAGTCTCAGTAATGTGTTGACTTCAGTAGCAAATTTAATTGCTTTTTCTTTCCCAAGTACCAAACTTTGTTGGGTTCCAAGCAGTGATGTTTGTGTAGCCACTTCTGGTGTCAGTTGCTCATGATGTTCAGCTGTTATATCTATTTATGTATTGCATCTTCAGGGCAAATCTCAAACTCTTATTTCTCCTGTGGTTTTCAGGGGGAGGGAGAGGTATAGCAAGTACCTGTGTAGCTGGAGATGAGTTGTGGTGGGTGATGTCACCTGTTGTGGTTTCTTGCAGCCTTTGTCACTCTTTTGAATGGAGAACAGGCCCAGAGTGCCATTCAGAGATTCCACCAGTATTCCCTCAGGGGAAAGGAGATATCTGTGCAGCTCCAACCCACAGATGCTCTGCTGTGCATCACTAATTTACCCATTTCATTGACACTAGAAGAGTTTGAAGAACTTGTCCGTGCCTATGGCAATGTGGAGAGGTGTTTCTTGGTGTATAATGAAACTACTGGGCATTCCAAGGGCTATGGATTCGTGGAATACATGAAGAAGGACTCTGCTGCAAAGGCCAGGCTGGAACTTCTGGGCAAGCAGTTAGAGGAGAGCATTCTCTTTGCACAGTGGATGGATGTGAACCAGCTGACCACAAACCTTATTCACTCCAAGTGCCTTTGTATTGATAAATTACAAAAAGACTCTGCTGAGTCAAAAGATCTGATCCAAGTTTTCTCCCTCAAGTACAAACCTGTGTTCTGCCAGGTATGTTTGATTTCTGTCTGTGGAAGATCAAGGTTGTGATGTCAGTGGCTCTGTTGGCTCTTCACTGCTTGATGTCTTCACTGCTGGGTGGTTGTGCATCTACATTGTGATATGAGGTGTGATACAAATGCTTTACTGGTATGGGTTAGCAGTGATTGATTGACCTGTGTTATCTGGGAATCTGCAGAACTCCACTCCCATCAAGCACCAGTGAAATGTTTGTAACACATCTCTTCCTCATGTAATTTATTGAAAATAATATTAGAAGTATTTCTGAGCTCTTCAAGGTAACATTGCTGATGGTTTTATTGGTAAAGAAAGCCAAAGTATATGGATGCCACAAGTGCAACAGTTTAGATGATGTACAGTATCTGATCTGTGTAATTAATGTGTTTAAGAAACCTCTGCAAATACTTTACCTGTTTTTATCCCTCACTGAGGAACATGTAGGCTTGAGGTCTCATAGTCACAGGGCTTGCCAGGGATAGAAGAGGTACATGTTTTGCATGTGCAGGTACAGAAGAGGCAGATCCTTGTTAAAAACAGGTATTTAGTGCCATTTGCTGGTCTCATGCAGCCACAAGACTCTCCTCACCCACTCCAGGTGTATCACTGTGATTTAAGAAGGTAAAAGTAAATTTTGAAGTGCCTCTAACTGCCCAGAAGAATACTGTTAGTGAAATATATCTTTTCAGAGGTTTCCTTCTCATCCTCTTGTCTTGTGAGGGATGAGAACACATAAAAGTGTTGCTCATAGTGGTGTAGACACACTACCATGAACAGGCAGGAGAAAGAAAGCTCTGTAGTCACACAGTTGGGTAGGATTTCTGTGGAGGGGTTGTTTTTCAGTTGGCTTTTATTCTTCTTAAGTCTCTTGGAAGACTGCTAAGGGATTAGCTTCAGGGCTAAGCACCCAGAGATTCTCAGCATCTAAGACCAGAAGGTCCATCAGGCTGTCTAGCCTGACCACCTGCAGGCCAGCACAGCCTCCATAGTGCTCTACTGGAGCCCCAGGAATTTGCAGTTGGCCAAAGTAAATACTTACACTTGATCCAAATATCCCAGGAGATGCATAGATTGGAAGTAGCTCTGCCCATCCCTTGTTATTTTGCCCTCCTGTCCTTTCCTTGGTTGAATATCTGCTTCACCTTCACCTCACTGATGACTGCTTTGAGGAGCTTTTGCCCCCCATTGTTTTCTGCCTGTAAGAAGGTATTAAATGCTGTAATCAAGTCTCTTGCTCAATCTGTAAGTAGCTAACCAGATTGATCTTTTAAAGTCTTTTCCTTCAGGGCTTTTTTTCCAGCTGTCACATAATCCAGAGGCTGTTAGCGGCTCCCCCAACAATTTTTCCACATGCTCTTCAAAATTGGCTTCAAAGACTAACAGGTTGCTGTGATAGAGATGGATTTCACTGGCAGGATTCTGCTGGGCAGTTAGGGACACTTCAAAATTGACTTTTACCTTCTCAAATCGTGATGACATGCAAGGGTCACACCTGGGATGGGTGAGAAGAGTCTGACTGTGGCTGCATGAAGTCAGGAAAGAGCACCAAATACCTGTTTACATAAAATACAGAAGGATGGATGTAGGTTAGCAAGTAGTTCAGGTTTGATAGATGCACAAGGCAAGAGTTGGATTAATTCTCATCACCACAGAGCTAATTAATTAGGGTTCTGAGTGAGGTGGCCTAAAAATTAAGGACAAAGAAAGGAGGAGGAAAAAGACCTAAGAAAGTGTGGGAAAAGCGAAGTAACATGATGGGCAGAGACATAAGAGGAAAACTAGGAGAGGGCAGGAGAGCAGAAACCTTGGTGGAGAAGGAAGTCCAATAGGGAATGGCTAGGAGAAGTGCTTTGTCTGGAAAGCTCTGTAGTATAGCTCTCTGGTGCTGCTTTTGTGGCTTAGTTCTGCTGGTAACTCTGGTGCAGCATTTCATCATGGAAGTACAATCTTGTCCTGAAATATTTAGTTGAACTAGGGAAATAATTCTGATTCATTTAATTTAATTGTATTTAATTAATTTTATTTCATAAACTCTGGTTTATTTCAATTAATTTTATTCATTTTATTCCATAAAGTCTGATTAATTTAATTTAATTCGATTATTTTGCTTCACAAACTCTGGTTTATTTCACTTCGTTCCAAATTTACCTCTTTTTAAAAATCAGTTTGATTTCTCCTCTATTGCCAGTAGAAATGTTCTGTCAGGGGCAGCTGAACCCACACACGGATATGAGGAAAAATGGCTTTTCCTAGGGCTTCCAGGAACATGTTTTGTCCTTTTCTTCAAGAAAATGCACCAGAAAACCTTCCAATTGTCCCTAGAATGTCTCCACCCTCCTTTGCACAGTACTGCAGGGCTTCACCAGTGCAGTAAAATAAAGTAGAAATATAAACTAAAGACACATCTGTATAGCAAATACACATCTGCTGGTGTGTTTATGTATCAGACTGTGTGTGTTCTCCAGAGTTCTGCCCAGAGGCTTTCACAGTGCCACTAAAGAGCTGAGCACCCTCTTTGGCTTCCAAATCTTTGGCATTTGTGTTTCAGTTGTTACTGTAAGTTTGTGGAACCCTAAGGTTGGGAATAGGTTGTTTTCATCCAGTGAAATCCAGAAATTTCCTCTCCAAAACTCATTTCTCTTCCCAGTATATAATTTCTATTCATTTTGGTACTGGAGATTTTTGCCTAAGCTTTGCTCCCTCCCTTATTTGTCTGATTTAAATGTGCTCATTCTGCTATAAAACTCTGCAAACAAAGGCCACAGCACTGTGTGACACATAAGCCTCTTTCCAGTCTGCTTGATTGATCAGTCTGGCATCTTCTCTTGGCATTCAGCACAACCACACACTTCATATTCTCCTAAAAGTCACTCTAGAACAGTGGAATTTGCATTGTTGCATGTTTCAACAACTGGCCTGTAGCCTGATGGATGCCAGTTTGATTATTGCAGGCTTAAAGGCTGAAGAATAATGAGTTCATAAGTCTTAGCCTGCAAAATAATAATTGTTGTAGCATATACAGCTGTATTTAGTTTCCTTCCCATTCCTCCTTTGTTCTCTAAATGGTGTTAAATACATTGATTTGTAATATGTTATGGGGTTGGAATGGAGCCTAGAGATCATCTAGCCCCAACCCCCAGCCCTTGGGCAGGGACACCTCCCACCAGAGCAGGTTGCTCAAGGCTTGATCCAGCCTGGCTTTGAACACTGCCAGGGTTAGGGCAGCCACAGCCTCCCTGGGCAACCTGTGCCAGTGTCTCACCACTCTCACAGGAAAAACTTCTGCCTGATATCTAATGTAGATTCCAATTTGAACTCATTATCCCTGTCCTGTCGCTGCAGCTCCTAACACAGAGTCCCTCTGCAGCTTCCCTGGAGCCCCTTCAGATCCTGGCAGGTTGCTGTGAGGTCTCCATACAACTTTCTCTTCTCCATGCAATAGCTGAGGTTCTCAGTGAGGTTAGACTGAAGTGAAGGTTGGAATTGAAGGAGATAAATAGGAATGCAAAATATTCTATGAAGAGATGATATTCAGCTTACATACAGGATGTTTGAGAAAGATACATCCTGATTTGGGGAGGCATTAACTTAAGGGTAATCAGTAGGGCCATTAACTGATAAGAGGACTGGAACACCTTCCCTATGTTGTAAACAGGCTGGGAAAGTTGGGGCTGTTCAGCCTGGAGAAGAGAATGTTGTGTGGAGACCTCAGAGCATCCTACCAGGATCTGAAGGGGCTCCAGGGAAGCTGCAGAGGGACTCTTGGTTAGGAACTGCAGTGACAGGACAAGGAGCAATGGGGAGAAATTGAAAGAGGGAAATTTAGATGAGATATCAGGCGGACGCTTTCCCTGTGAGGGTGGTGAGACACTGGCACAGGTTGCCCAGGGAGGCTGTGGCTGCCCCAGCCCTGGCAGTGTTCACAGTCAGGTTGGCTAAAGCCTTGAGCAACCTGTTCTGGTGGGAGGTGTCTCTGCCCAGGGCAGGGGATTGGGGCTGAATGATCTCTAAGCTCCATTCCAACCCCTTAACTTTCCATAATTTCCATGTGAAGCATTTTGCAAGAAACAGGTGAAAATACTGAAAGGCAGTTCTTGGAATTCTCCACTTCACTCAGTGTCCTGTGCATGTTGCTGCAGTTTGCTCAGGATGAAGACAGTGGCATCGGTGACTTCGCCGTGGTTGAGTATGAGACTGCAGAGCAGGCAGAGAAGGTCTGGGAAGTCACAGATGGCATCACCTTTAAAGGGAAGAGACTCCAAGTGTCCTACTGTGCCCCTGGAGCACCAGGCAGGAGCACCTTAGCAGCACTGATAGCAGCGCAAAGGATGGTAAGATACCTTCAGATCTGGTTTTGGCACACCTTGAGCAGCTTGAGTTGGGGCAGAGGGTTTGGCTGCTTTGCAAGAGGAAAAGGACCCAAGATTTTGGAGGCATTTTTCAAAGCCAGGTTGGACTGGGCTTGGAGCAACCTGGTCAAGTGGAAGGTGTCACTGCCCAACCCAACCTGTTCCATGATTTCACGTAGTCGTCCCAGTCCTGTCTCCTTGCAAAGCTTTGCCTGGAAGAAGGCTAAAATATGACATAAACCACCACAAAGTTACACCTACATAGCTCTGGGATTTTAACACATTTAATTTTCTGCAAGAGAAATGGTTCCAGTTCAAATAAAAAACAACCGAAAGTGGCGTTGTTTGACAAGCTAAAACTTGGTTTAAAACAGAGTTGAAGATAAATTTCAAGGTAGGAGAAACAGTTGAATTTCATGCTCTGTATAGAAGAAAGGTTTTTACACTCACATGTCTTATCAAGTTATTGCCTAGGAAATTGGATGTGATCAGAAGATGAAGATGTCTTAAATATAGAGGCAGAACAGGTTCATCCCTTCAGCTTTATGAGATGAGTAGTTCTGAGAGGCACTGGCAGCATGAACATCATGTACTTTCTCAGTCTCCTTTATTGATTGCTCTGTCTTGGTTTAAAGGAAAAAATGTGTCTCAGGAGAAATAATATCTTTGAAGTTTTGTTGGAGTAGTTTGTTAGGTGTTTCATTGAGGGGGAAAAAGAGCAGGAAACAGAGATGTTTTTCCTGTGTAAAATAAGACATGTACATTACCTTCACATAAGTTTGAGGGGTTTAAACGTATTTGTTTCTCCTGCTTGTAACATTTTTGTCTCTCTCTCACTTGGAGATGAGGAACAACAGGAAAGGCTTACTTCCAGAGCCAAATCCAGTGCAGATCATGAAGAGTTTTAATAATCCAGCCATGCTGCAGATGCTGCTGCAGCCCCAGCTTCGTGGCCATGCTGTGAAACCTGGTAAGCTGGTTGAAAACAGGACTAAAGAAACCCTGTTCTTAGTGCTGCAAGGCCTTTTGCAAAGGAGTGAAGCAGAAATACTTGTTTGAAATCAGTGCAGACACTTTTTTGCTGCGTTTGTGTAGACACTGTCACGTTTTAGGATAGTAAAAGCAAGAGGTGAGGTGTATAGTCTTGTGTTTGGGTGAAATTTAGTGTTACCTACAGATGTCTTGTATTAGCTCTGAACGTTTCCTTCAGAGATGGGTTTAAAAAGAAAAATGTCTTTTGTAGACATCATGAAAATGGCAAGTTTAAATCTGATTCTAGGCCTGCATTTTGCAGCCTGAGTCTTCCTGTTGGTTCCAGTGTGGATCTTTTTACTGCCACAGTTGTGCAGAGCATTTCAGAACAGCATTAGCCAAACCCCTTTCTGTCTTCTCATCAGGTGGATGTGAACAAACACATAAACCCCAGTCTAATCACATTTCAGATGGGAAAATCCTAGGAACAGGCACGAGGTAATTAGGAGAGTCAAGTGGGGGCAGCTAGGAGTGTGGGACACAATCTACTGACAGAAGGAAGCTACACAAAAATGAGGTGTGAAGTGACCACTTCAGCGAAGAAACACTCAGCTCAGGCTGAGTTTCAAAGCACTTCAGATAAGGCTGTGGCCTTGCAATCAGTTGCATCTTGGAGTGAAACTCTCAGCCCTAGAGGAGCACCTGGAGAGAACATTGGAGCTCTCATATGCTGTTAATTGCAGACCAAAGTGTATTGAAAGGTTTCATAACCTCTTCCAATCTAAGTCTGTGATTGTATTAAAGTCACCTTTAGTGGACTGAAAATGCAATGAAAACCAAATCCAGAGAATGTAGAATAACTTATGAAGACTTTAACTTGCCTAACTTGTAAAATATGCAATTTTTTTGTGTGTTTCTTATACAGTTCTGGGAGCGTCTGCAGGTTTGCCTCACCTAATAAATTCAGCTGTTGGTTCACCTTTTCTGCAGCTGAATAAAGTTCATCAGGTATGTGACAAAAGGACTTTGGTCAAAATAGGTATTTGGGGAGATCTTATCTTAGATTACATATGAAATGTATATATAATATAGATACATTATCTTATGTATTATATAGATATATTGGATTGTGTATGAAATATATATCTAAAATATATATCAGTTTAGATTCTATATGAAAAATGCTCTCAGTTTTAAGAAGCTAAGCCAGAATCAAGTGTTGTTAGACTCCAAGGAAAGCTCTGTATTATGAGACAGGGGTGTGCTTACTATCCACAAGTGAGTTATGGTCTCTTAATTGAGCTTCTGATTTGCTAAGAGGTGTTGGTATAGAGACAAATCGTCATTACTGGTCAAAAAATCCTCTTTAAACTGGAGCTCAAGGAACATGGCACATCCCTTTCCCTCCGAGCAGCTCCTCCACACTTCCTGTAGAGCCTTGATTGTTTTATCTTGGGCAACAAGCTTAGCATATCTTCATTTCAAAGCTTGCAGGGACCAAAATGTGCTACATAGGCCATAAAAAGCAGTGATTTGCAGATGTTACTTCTTAGTCAGAAAACCCCCAAGGTTAGAAGCTCTTTCAAGTGTTCTCAGAGTGTAATTCCAGATGGAGGCCAGAATTTCTGCAAGATGCTGGGAAGGGTATTTAGGATGAGTTTGCCCTAGAAATTGGGGATGAGAGTGTCCCCCACGAGCAGAACTGCTCCCTGCTGGGTGCACTTGGCCCGCAGCCTCTGCCTTGTGCTCAGCTTCTCTCAGGGATTTCTTCTCCAGCTCTGCCAGGAGCCAAAGTTTTCCTTTAATATTCATGGTGGGGATTTTCATCAAGACCTACAAGGGAGTGGAGTCAATCACTTTGGCTTAGTATCTTTGATGTTTCCATAAATCCCACTTAAAAAATAAAATCCCCCTAAGTATTAGTTATTTTTACTGTTCTTTTGACAAACACAGATTTATAGATCTTAAAAAAGACTATGCTAAAATGCAGAGATACTCCTTATGTTAAATATATTTATGTTCTTTCTTTTCTGTTCTACTTCTATTCGATTTTTTTTCTGCCAAAAGCTGGTAGGTGAATGTGTTCACTTTGAACAAATGCTACCCAATTTTGCCCCATCATATGAATTGCTTTTGTTCTGTACAGTGAAAAAAAGACCTGATTCTTTGCTTGTACTTCTTGTATTTCAATGACATTTTCAATTGGTCTCTTTAGTCACTGCTGCTCCCTCCTCAGCCTGGGAGAATCTGTGCTTCCTTGGAAGGCAATGTGAGTGTTTGCTGATCACAGCTGGAGTCAGGCATGTTGTACACAGCTAACAGTGTGATTGATGATGATCCAGTGGGTTTTGGCTTCAGAGTGCTGCAGCCAAACAACGTAGTGTTTTCTCTGTGCAGAGACAAGTCTAGTTCTCTTCCCAGGAGCTTCCTGTCATTTAATTAGCTCCAAACCTGCTCTGATAGTCTGAATTTTATCAATAGTGCTTTGATTAGTCCAATTTCTTCTGTTAGGCCTTGTTTTCTGTTATTAGGTGACTTATTTCAGAGTATTGTCCAAAGCCAGAGAACCAGGTCACTATTTTCATTGCCTTGAAACTCTGTGTTATCATAAGCTGGAGGGACAGGCAGTGTTTTGGCTTGGCTCTCCACTCACACTGATTCAGCTTCCTGTGTGCCCTGGGTTTGCTGCTTTATATTCAAGGTTCTGTAACAGAATACAAGGAGAAGAAACATTAATTTAGGCTGATTATGCCAAAGCGTTTCAGAATCATTGATAAAAAAGATTCAGCAGAGGTGATTTGAAGGTCCTGTAATCTTCCAACTTGAGGCAGCCTTTCCTTTCTTTTAATTTCTCCTGTTAATTATCCTGTGCCAAAATAATGCATTTGAAGCTCTCTCAGTGATGTTCCCCTCAGCCATGCAGCAGTTTATTAAATCTTTATTAACCCAGAGACTTGCCTTGGAGGATTCTAACCTAACTGATTTTTACACTCTTGTTTTTCACAAGTTTTGCAATTGGTCTAAGACATTTTCTTTGTTGATGGAGCCAAGTTCAGAAGGAACTGCCACTGGCACTGGTGACAATAAACAGCCCTGGATAATGTCTACTTGGAAATCACTAAGACAATTAAAATAGCAGATGCAGAACTAATCTAGATATGGCACATTTGTTTTCAAAGGCCCATTTCTGAGCCCAGAAGAACATATTGTAGGCATAGAAGGGTTTTCCCTGAGGAATTTAACACAGAGAGACAATCCAGGCTGGAAAAGATTCGTGAGGTGTTTTGCAGGAGGCTGTGAAATCTCAGCATCAGGAATTGCCTTCTTTGGGGCTTCATTACCTTGCTTTGGGTGATTTTTCTGCTGTAGGAGACTTCAAAAACCAATAAGGAAAGCTCTACTTGTCATGATGTGCCACAGTCAGTGTCCCACAGATCCATTCTTGCACTGCTGTACACAAAGGTTTGGAGAACAACCTGTATTTCACCTGGAGCTGCTGCCAGACAGTTTCAAGCCCATGTTCAGCTACCATAAATCATGGTATCTTTTAAGGTTTGTTTTAAGCCACAGAGCTCATAATGCTGAATATGCCAGTAGCAGAGTCTGAGTGTGGTGCCCCAAAGTTATTAATGAGTGGCTCAGTTCTGGTGGCAAATGGGGATATTTTGAGTTAAAAATAGGGCTATTTTATAGCCTTCCTATCTGTAGGCACTGTAAACTGTAAGCTTTAAATGGCTCTGGAGTAGGATTTCAGGTAGAGTTGCCACTGGAAAGGGAGGGGAAACATATCTGGATATTCCTCTTTGAAAGACAAGTAAAGCAAGGGATGAGAGTCCCTGTGAGTCCCAGCAGAGTGCTGTGAAGGACACAGATACTTGGTGCAGATTATGCCTTAGAATTGCAGTGCAAGGCACAAAGCAAATGTTAGCAGACAATGAAGCCCTTATTCACAGAGCTTGGAATCCCCTGAACTCCTCCAGGCTCATCTTTCCTGCTGGCACTGGAGGTAACTGTAGTCCATCTGTGGAGGCTTCAAACACATGGAGCTTTCCCTGATGGCTTTCCCAGGGGCTGCAATGGAGTTTGGGTTGTATTTGGAGATACTCTTGATCCTTTATGAGCCATCAGAAAGCTTTACTTGTGCTTGTGAGGTGAAAAAAAGGCCTGGGCAGAACAGAGGTTCAAACAGCTTGGAATAACTTTGTGAGTGAAGTGAAGCTGTAGTTCTGTGGAGGAAATTGTTACTTTGTTGTTTTAACTCAGAAAGTTAAATTTCTTTAAGCAGGACCTTCTGAAAGTGTCTCAGGAATGTTCATGATTGCCAATTAACACTTCTTTTAATCATTTCTCAGAGCTCAATTCTGGGGAGTGCATCCAACCTGCTGCTGCAGAGCCCTGCTCACCTGCCACTGCCCCAGCAGCAGCTCATGAAGATTGAGAACATTCAGGCTAACAGTGTAAGGTCATCACTGGAACTTTGAATCTCTGGACATTCTTAGAACAGCAAATCAAGTTTTTCATCAGGTGGCCCTGCCCATGGCAGGGGGGTTGGAACTAGATGATCTCTTAAGGCCCCTTTCAACCCAAACCAGTCTGAGATGTTATAATTGAACAGTTTAGTGTATCTAAAATGATTAATGAATGTCAAAGTTATGAGAAATAGCTGTGGACAGATTATTTTAACCATTTACACAGGTTTCTGTTCTTCCTTATAGAAACCAGGTTTGCTGGGTGAGCCTCCAACAATGCTCCTGCAGACAGTGCTGGGAATAGGGGTGATGCCAGCAGTGAGCTCAGGCATGGGGACCCGAGGAGAAGCTCTGAAGTGTAAATGGATTTTTATTTCATACCAAATCAGTAGAAATGCTCAGCTTGGAATTATGCACCTGATTTTTTCCCTCTGTAGCAAAAGCAATAAAGATTTAAGCTCCAGCATGTGACAGATGTCAATTTTCAAGGGAAATTTCTGTCTGATGCCCTCAATTTTTATGAGGGAAGACCAGTTGTGATACTGGGGGTGTTCAGCCTGGAGAAGGGAGAGTGCTGGGAGACCTTTGAGCCCCTTCAGTGCCTAAAGGAGCTCCAAGAGAGCTGCAGAGGGTCTTGGGACAAGGGCCTGGAGGCACAGGACACAGGGAATGGCTTCCCACTGCCAGAGGGCAGGGAGAGATGGGATATTGGGAAGAAATTCTTCCCTGTGAGGGTGCTGAGGCACTGGCACAGCTTGCCCAGAGCAGCTGTGGCTGCTCCATCCCTGGGAGTGTTCCAGGCCAGGCTGGATGGGGCTTGGAGCAACCTGGGCTGATGGAAGGTGTCCCTGCCCTTGGCAGGGGGTGGAATGAGATAAGCTTTAAGGTCTCCCAACCCAAACAAGTCTGGGATTCTTTTGTTTCCTCCACTGAGCTGTGTATTCTGTGTAATCTCAGATACGGTCTGAGTAATGGTGTCACCAGGAGGGAGGAAAAGGTTGCAAGGGAGGGAAGAAACTCCTAAATAGGTAGGCTTAATTTTGCAGAGTATTCTCCAGCTCCTTAGTAAAAAAAAAATTGTCCCTAATGCCAGTTGAGGTGGGGTTTCCCCCTCTGTTCCAGTGCAGGATCCTCTAGGATGTTGTTCCCAGTTTTTTTGTAAAGGGACAGGAGTTATTATCCTAGTGACTGTTTAGAAAAGTTATTGTATTGTATTAAACAGAGTTGTTTGCTTCTGGCATGGCCAAAGAATAAAAAGCACCCTCAGGATCCATGTTCTGGGACAGCTGTTAAATAGATCTGTAACTGCATTTCCTCACCACAAACAAAACCTACTGATAAATGTTGTCTAACAGCAAAGTTTCTCCATTTATGGTTGGCTGCAGCATCTAATCCAACTCCAATTCCAACAGCAGCAGCGGCAGGGATGGGCATGCTGCCATTCTTTCCCAATCAGCACATTGTTGGACAAGCTCTACCAGGGCAAAATAATGCTGCAGACAAACCCTCCGAGGCAGCTGTGTCAGGATCACAGCCTTATCCCCAGCCCCTGGCAGCCCTTCCTGGGGGAGCTCTGCGTGCTGGACCTGCCAAACCACACAGCCAGCCCAAAAGCACTGAGGTGAGCTTGGGAGTAAGGGAGACTCAATGCAAATATTGTCTTTGGTTTTCCTTGCATGTGGATTTTCTCTTTATTTTAGCTGCAACTGCTTAGTGTAGTTCACTATAAAATCCTCTAGATCACAGGATCATCCATGAGGCATTTTAAGGCCATTTCAGTCCTGAATAACAGGGAGAGAACAATAATGCTCTTTGGTGGTCCGAGTGAATTAACAAAGGAATCTTCACAGTGCTGGAGGGGTTTTGGCCGTGTGTTTGCCTCATAGGATTTGATGATGAAATGTGTCTCAGGGGCAATGTCCTTTGTAAAGGCCAAAAATTGAACATGTGGTTGAATTTCATGACTGATCAGGAGCAATATATGAGGCCTTTGGGTTTCCAGGCAGTTGTGTGTGCGTGTAAGTCTTCCACTTTCAATTCATGCCCTCTTGGCCACACCTCATTTATTCCTGCTCTTATATCAGGTTTTTACACACTACTTACTCCCTTGAAGCTGAGGTGTGGGAGGGTGATGGGATATAAGTTGAACCAGGATGACCTGGTTATTTCAGAAGTTTTTTTCCTGCCATTAGCATAACTGTTTTTAATAATATTCATCAATATTTGACATTTAAGGAGAAATATGTTCTTAATTCAGATCAGATCTGTGTTTTCCTGACATATCACCTGAAGTGATTAGATTATACCCAGTGTTGGTGTCTGTTTTTCTTAGACAGGTTTGGTTCTACTTCAGAAAATCCAGTTTTCATGTTTTAAATCACTTTTTACTGTAGTGAAGTGGAATTTTACCTATATATAGGTAAATACAGTCAAATTTATCTATCTATATATATATAGGTAAATATGTAGGTTATTCCTATATATAGGGATTTTACTTACGTATAGGTAATAGGTATAGATTAGATATATAGATTAGATATATATTAGAGATAAAGTGTGTGTATGTGTGTATATATATATATACATGGATCAAAAACACAGAGTGTGTGAGTTATACACATAGAAAATCAATGTTTTAACTCACCTTTTCCTTTCGTTCAAAGGAACTCTGAGCCAGTCCTGACACTTCATTCCCACTCATAACCATTTACCCTTTTTAAGTCTGTGCTTACAAATGGAGTGATCAGTGGGCTGTGTGGTAATGCACATTGCAGACGTCTCTCCAGGGCTCGTTTGTCCTTTATTTCCTTGTGCCTCCCAGTGAAAAGAGCTTGTTTGGTCTTGGCTGTGTACTTAGTGCTCACGCCCTGCATCTGGAGTATTCTGGTGATGATTAGTCGTTTACTTGCATATGAAAGGTTTGCTTTTGTTTGGTTGTTTGAACTGGCCTTCAGTAAGTTGCAGTCTGAAGAGAAACATTCGGGCACAATCATTTGGTAGAAAAAAAGCACTGGCAAAATGTCCAGATTGTTGTCCCTAGAATTGATTTTAAAGGTGGTATTTCATAGCACTAAGCCTTTTTCTGGGACAATGTAGAGGAACAGAAGAGGTGACTTTAGTCCTTGTTTCTGACAAATTTTAGGTGAATACAAAGCAAACTTCTCTGTCCTCTTGTTTCACAGACTCCCCTGAAAAAACAAACTTCTCTGCTTGGGGAACCACCAAAAGAAATACGTCTGAGCACCAACCCTTACTTGAATTTGGCAAGTGTGTTGCCTGGTATCTGCCTGCCAGGTAAGCAAACACCAAAAGTGGGTTTAATTGCAAGTCTGTAGTGCCCACAGCAGTTATCCTCCAGGAAATCTTGGTGTAGTCAATGTAATCTGTCCTGATAGCTAATATTTTATTGGGGAAGGGTAAATTTCCAGAGGCGACTTACTGATATAGACAAGCTTCTAGAAGCCTTTCAATTATTAGTAGCACTGATTAATTTTGAGCACAGCAGCAAATCTCTGGCTGGATCCCAGAATGCAACTGAACTCATGTGTTTTATGCAGCCCATGTGATTATACAACCTGTCTTCTTTGTGTTCCCAGCAGCAATTGCCAGCAAAGCCTCCAGTCCACCTCAGCAGACCGGAATTCCAAATAATGTCGTGGATGCTGCTGTGTCTCAGGGAACTGCATCACAACATGCCATGGAAAATTACTTCGGCTACTCTCAGCCGCACGGGGAATACACACAGGTATGTTGTGCTGCAGCTCTGTCTCCCCTAGTGTGGCCCTCAGAGCTGTGCTGGCAGGAGTTTGGCAGAGATCTCTGAGGTCCCTCCCAGAGCTGCTCATTGTTTTCTCTGTGTATTCCTGATGCACTTCTTGGCACACACGTGGCCTAAGAGCTCTGTGTGCAGCTGGACAGCTCTGCCCAGCGTCAGAGTCACTCTTGGGTGGTTCCTGAGCTTTCCTACAGCCAAACCCACCCTCCTCTTCAAACTGAACCTCTTCACTGGCACTTTATCACTTTCAGTGTACAGAATAGATTTAGCACAGGGGACATCTAATGTCAGTCCAGAAAAACTCTCGGCATGTTCTCTGCTGAAATCATAACCCTTAAAAAATTGCTTCTTGAGAGCCTGAACTCAGGGCAGTCACTAAGAAATTCTTACAACTTCTGGCTTTTGTCTGTCTTCAAGCCACGAAGTTTTTCCCTCCCCAAGAAGTCTTCTTGAAGTTTGGCTAGATCCCAGAGCAGAGTGTTTTGCCTACCAGCAGTTCCTGCAGAGCTTGGGGAATTCTTGCAGTGTCTGCCAGCTGGTTTCACTGCAAAGGATGCACAGGATGTCTGCCCTATATGCCCCATGTGGTGATCAGAGCATGGCCATAAGGTGTGGACTCTGGAGAGTGTTGCAGGACTGAGAGCAAGTTCCACAGCACACTGGGAAAGAACATTTCCACATTTTCATTAGTCATCACTAGTCGGTGTAGCTGCACAGAAATCAAATAGGGGAACTGTATTGTGGTGCTGTCAGGGAATGTGTGTAAAGATTTGTTCTGCACTGAGACACCCACCTTGGCTCTGCTTTGGGTCTCCTCCTGCACTGTCCCATCACCTCCTCCCCAGATTCCCTGTTCTCCCCTCTCTAACCTATGTGTTATTATATATATTCTCTAACCTATGGGTTGGAGAAGCAGGAGAGATGTCCTGTGGGTGGTGTGCTGTGTGTTTTGTGTGAGCACTGACACAGTCTTGAATATAGTGTGGTCTGTGCTCTGGAGCCAGGCTGGAAGGGCTGGGAGCGTTCACCTGGAGAGGAGAAGGCTCTGGGCAGACCTTAAAGCCCCTTCCAGTGCCTAAAGAGGCTCCAAGAGAGCTGCAGAGGGACTTGTGTCAAGTCCTGTCATGTAGTGACAGGACGAGGGGGAATGGCTTCAATCTGAAAGAGTAGGATTAATTTGGGTATTAGGAAAAAAAAATTTACTCTGAGGGTGGTGAGGTACTGGACCAGCTTTCCCAGAGCAGTTGTAGATGATCCACCCCTGGAAGTGTTCAAGGCTAGGTTGGATAGAGCTGAGTAACCTGGTCTAGGGGAAGGTGTCTCTGCTCATGGCAGGGGGGGAGACTGGATCATCTTTAATGTCCCTCCCAACCTAAACCATTCTGTGATTCTAAGAATATTTCATTTTAATCTGATTATTGGCTTTAAACTGATTCTGATCTCTCCTGGAGGTAGTTCCTAACCCCAAATCCTTAAACTACTGTACAAAAATATCAACAGTATTGTAGTATGAGTGTTACTAGTTTTATCTTCCCTAACATGAAGGACTCAAGTGGTGTCTCAGTGGTGCAGAGATACCACATGTGCCCCTCCAGCTCTATGGCACTGTCTGTCCTTTCCTTGGAACAGGGATGACATTCTGCCTGTGTCCCCTGCCAATGAAGTGGTGCCCTGTGTATCTTTTAAGCACTTAACATAGTTCTAGGTGTTTGGTTTGAGCTTTATCACCGGTGTTATGAGTGTTTTGATGCTTCTTGGACAGCTTTGGGGCTGTAAGAATTGTCTCATTTGAAGTGCTGGTGGTAGACAGCTAACGGGAGAGGATTTCTCCTCCTCTCCAGGAGGCTGTTCAGCAGTGGTATCAGCACTGTGCTCAGGCACATCACCCTACCCAGCCCAGAGCTGATGAGTTTGAATCCTCAGAGGTGAGAAATCCCTTTATTTCCTTGTTGTCTCCACTGTTTCACCCACCAGCTGTGAGGCTGCTCCTGGACACCTGCTTTGTGTGTGGGTAGTGGCTGCTGCTGTGGGGACTGTGGGAATCAGGAGCTGGAGTGTGGGATGAGGGGCACTGCATGGGCACCTGCTGCAGGGCACTCAAAATATCCCACTCTAAAATCCCACAAAGTCACTGTGAAACTCAGGAGTGTGTTGAAATATTCCTACCAAGCACCAGCAAGTCATCATTTCCCAGTGAGGCTGTTGCAGGACTCCCAGGCCATTAGCCTGTTTCTCTCCCAGGCCATTTAGTCTGAGGTTTCTGTGGCCAAGGAGAAACACCTTTTTTATTAAGGAATTATGTAAAACCATCCCCCAGATCCCACATTTTGCTCAAGGAATTGCTGCATGTGGATTGCTGCTGTGAATTGCACCTCCTGTTAGCAACTGAGCATGACTCAGGTGTTTTGAGACCTGCTGAGTGGTTATCACTGTGGCAAGTGAAAATTAATGATTTAAACCCATTTTCTTTCTACTTCTGGTTGATCATGGATCCCCTTCTGCATTTAGGAATCTCCAGGTGGATCTTACCCAGACTGCAGCACGTGTTTTCAGGTCGTGCCTGCCCTTTTCAGTGGAGCCCAGGGATCACAGCAGCTCCCTCCCCCAAATCCAGTCAATAAGGTGAGAGGAGAGAGGGAGCAGCAGCTGCAGGGGGAATCGCTTCTTCCTGGGCTTGTGCTGCCACCGAGTGGACTTGGGGCCCATGGCAAGCCAAGCAAAGCATTCCCACTGCATCCCTGGTCCCGCGGTGCTCAGGATCACCTTTAACTGTTCTGGATCACACGCAGTTCCTGATGGATGTGATAAGTAGCAGTGCCAGAGTCCTGCGGAGCCCTCTGGTCCCTGGGGATCAGCACTCATCACTGTCCCAAAACCCCCAGGCAAAGCAAGGCTGGAGGTTTGGGAACCAACTGCTTGGAAAGGTGGGAATGTGCGAAAATGCCTGGAAGGAGGGAAATAAACTAGGAAGCAGGAGAAGGTGGTAGTTCACACTGGATTTAGATGGGTTTTGCCTGACTTGCAGATGGATTGCAATGAGTGCCACTGGGATGGAACCTCTGAAGTGGAGAGAGCAAGTCAGGGAATGTCCAGGTTACTTAGAGCCTCCACTTGGAATACCCTTAACTGGATCCTGGGAAGAAAACAATTTAAAAATGGCTTTTATTTGGAACTACAACAGACATCAGCTGCAACCTACTCCAGAGTCATTGAGCAAAGCTTCCTTGGCTGGTGCACCCAGTGGACACTTAGTTTCCATCAATCAGAGCTGTAGGAGGGATGGGGAAATGCTTTGGAAGCAGTGAGGACCAGTTGAAGGAGCCTGGAGTCTGGTTAACACAGTGGGATAAGAGCTTTGTTCAGTGTGAACAAAGGGGCTGCTCATTTCCTGGGAGCCCTGTGCTGTCACATTGCTCCTGTTTTTATGGATGGAGGAAAAGCCAGTGTGGTATCTGGGAGAGATGAGGGCCCTTCCATCATGGCATTACATCCCTTGGTGTGTTCTGGCTCCCAGAAACTCACAGCTCAGACTGGGCGTGAGATCCCCATTTTTTGGAGGTGATTTAGAATGAAGTGTATTCCTTCTAACTGTAGCAATTTGTGACTCCTGGATAGACAACAGCCTGGCTGGAGGTGCCTTGGGGTAAAAGTGGCCAAGGCCTGACCACGTGGCCCTGAGCTGAGACATCTCTAGCTCTGTGCAGCCGAAAACTCAGCTTTCAGCTTCCTAACAGCTCTGGCATGGCTGGAAGTGAGGGAAGTGGTAACAAGAGCAGACAGGCTGAAGTTCGAACTAACTAGTACCTCAGTTCATCTCCAAAGAGGAGTTTGTACATGGAGGTGATGTTGAACAGCTCCCTCAGAGGTCTGTGTTGATGCCAGGAGCCATAAAAGGCAGAAGGAATGTGGTTGGCACAGACACAGCACAGTTTGCCTCTGCAGTGAGGCACATCCCTTACTCCTGGAATTACAGATAAATCTCAAGGAAGAGGGCACACAGGACCTACCCAAGAGGCTCTGTCAGTTCAGGGTGTGTGCTTGTGTGTCTGTGCTTCCTTTAACCCTGCAACTCATTTTTCTCCTGCTTTTTTGGGAGCCAGGACTTGGTGGAGGGTTCCAGCACACCCTTGACAGCCCTGTGGCTGTTAGAACTGCAGGAGAGAGGGCAGTATGAATGTGAGCTAGCAAGAGGTGCTTCTGAGAGCTGCTGGGAAAGTGTTCAGCTCAGAGATGTTGTGCTTTTGGTTAAGGAATTAGTGTCCTGGTTTGGGAAACTTGTTAAGGTTTCTAAAATATTCCACATGAACCAGACCCCCAAATCTTCTGATTAAGAGCCAGCCCTAACCCACTGTGGCTGAGGTGCGAGGTTCAGGTGGTTGTCACAGGACAGATGCTTCAGTGTCTCAGAAAAAGGTGACTGTTATAGGCACTTGGTGACAAAATGAATGGTTGAGCAGTGATCAGGAGTCACCAATGAGGATGTGCATGTGCAGCTTCTGGTGCTGGAGGTGCATGGATAGTGATGTTTTCCAAAGGGAAACTGCACCCAAGGAGCCCTTGGCAGCCTTAGGTCAGTTATGCTCTCACAGAAACCCAAGCTCTGGGACCCTCAGGGCTTGCTGTGTGACAAGG